TTACACAATCATTTTTATTCCTTAAAATCTAGCAAAATAATGCTTAAGAACCAATAGGGAGGTCCGAAAATATGAGCACATAAGTCTCAATATTTTCGGCCACTTTATGGTATTTTTGAGCCAATTATTTTGGTAATTCTTGTATTTTAATTATCTACCTTAAATCCAATTATTTCCTTAATTCCTATTTTCTACCTTACAAATATTTGATCATCTTATTTATTTACCTTAAACCATTCTTGATTATTCCCCAAGCAAAGCCACTTACCATTTAATATTTCATAACTACATACTTACCTTATTTCTTAATTGCTTAATCACCATAAAACTAAACTTTCAATAATTCTTTAGCTCTCTTTTCAAAGTAATTCCTTAAACCAAATTTGCCATAATTATTCCTACATTTTCTTACCTTAATTATTGCATGACCTAGCCTATAAATACCCCTTGAACCAATGCTAAAACTGACACCAAAATTCTCTTCTTTCTCTCTAATTTCTCTCTAATTATCTTCTCTCTTTATCTTATTTCCTTACGCCAACTACCACCTCAAACTACCTCAACCACTGGCTGCCACCAGTCCCCGACACCAGCCACCCCTTCCGCCGGCAGCAACCACTTTCCGGCGAGCTGCTGCCACCTTGTCGTGCCTCTTCTTCCTTCTTCTTCTTCGGTTTTCTACTTCTTCTTCTCTTCTCCTAATTAATTCTACTAGGGTTTTATAAAAATTATTATGAGTGTTTTTGATTAAATAAAATCAGTTTATTATTTCAAGTTTATGAAAAGAATTCTTATAAGGTTCATGTACATACAGTTGGGGGGTTTTATTTAAATTGTTGTTATTATTTGATGACCTTATATTAATTAAGGTTATATTTAATTGTAGGGTGTTTTTGACAAGAGTTCTTGAGGTTCTTTATGTGTTTTTCTAAGCAAGGATCAAGGTATGTTTAGGTGGCTAGATACCTTTGAAAGTGATTGATTTGAATAAGCATGTTTTGTATGATTTTTATGATGATTTGAATTATGATTTATGAATAAATTATGTTTGGAAGAATTGATTTTAATATATTTTTCATTAAATGAATTTGAAGAATTGATTTTAAATATCATGTTTTGAATGGTTTGAATTATTTATCATATTTAAAAGGTTTAACTTTGAAAGCATGTTGAATTATATAAAGAGGAGTTTTGAGTTGATTTATTATAAAGGATTGAACTATTGATTTAAAGAGGAATTATTGAATTATTTAAGCTACATAAGTATGATTGTATTAATCCCACTATGCGGATTTGGTTGATAAGATTATGGACTTTGTATAACCTAGTCTTTCCACAAGGATAGCCTTCTACATAAGGACACTAACTTGGGGGGTGTGCACACTTGGGTGAGGAATTAAGTTTTTGAAAAGAGGAATTGATTTTAAATAATCATTATTGTTGAATTATTGAGTTATTTGAAATTATTTTGAGAATCTTGAGAATTGGTTTTTAATTATGAGTTTGGAATGATTGGATTAATTATTGAAATTTGGTTTTAAAAGCATGTTTGCTAATAAATTGAGTTTACTTATCTTGCCCTTGAATGTACTTGGCATATTTTGCTAATTCATATTTGTTTTGGTTTTGGTTCACCTTTTTACCTTAATGGTAAGCAGTGTTGACTAGTTTCAGGTGGAGTCAATAATTGAGCATTTGGGAGTCCCGAGATATGATTCACCTAGCTTTTAGGAATGTTGGTTTTGTTCTATATTTTAGTACTCATAACAATGGTTACTATTTCTATTAAGTATTAATAAAAGAAGAGTTTGAGTTTCCGTTGCAAAGTTTTGGTTTGGTTTATTAGTTTTAAGTAGCCTTGCGTAATCACGCGGTGGTAGTACGCCTAATCTATCTCTACGGTATAATTATATTATACATATTATACTAGTATTTCTGTAAAGGGAGATTTTGGGGTGTTACTCACTTACCATCTAATTCAATCCATAGTTGGCAGGATATGCAAACACAATTCCTTAGCCATTTTACTAGGGTTGAAGTTGGGGTTACCATAGGTGATTTGGCAAAGATTGTACAAGAAAAGGGAGAAACAATAGGAGATTATATTCTTAGTTTCAAAAATGCTAAAATCAGATGTCACTTAAACATATCTGAATTAGAGTTTGTGTCTATCGTCCAAAAGGGTTTATCCTTTCCTTTTAGAAAGAAGAAAGAAGTTTGAAGGGAAATTCTTTCCTGATTTTGTTGCATTATCTAGTGCTGTTATGGCTTATGAAAGGTGTTTAGAAGAAGAGTATAGGTCTAAACATAAATATTATGCTAGTATGGCAGAGGAATGTGACCGGAAGAGATGTGTATGATGCAACGATAGTTGAGTTTGTACAAGGTCCTTTATTTAAGTGTCCACCCTTAATTAACAAGAAGTTTTCTTAGAAGAAAGACTTAAAGTTTAACCAGAATAGAGAGTATACCTTTGATATTAGGAGGTGTGATGAAATTTTTGATTGGCTGCTGAGTCATAAGAAAATTAAGTTAGCAGGGAGGCACAAGACTAGGAATCCTGAAGAGATTAAAGGAAAGAACTACTGTAAATGGCATGATGCTTTTACTCATAAGACTAGCGATTGCATAATATTCAGAATTAAGATTCAAGATGAAACAGAGAAAAAAAAAACATAAATATAAACTTCCCTGATGAGAAAGTCAGCTCTTGTGAATTAGAGTCAAAGTCTCAATTTGAGTATGAAGTTTATGAAATGAATTTCTTCATGGTAAGCACTGACATGGATGTTGTGCAGGATAATGTACAGGAACTGAAGAAGGTTACTACTGCGGTTAGATTATATGTAAAGCTAGTCAAAGAAGGGGTAATTGTGTCACCACAATGCCAGGATGATGATTATGAAGATGTGTTGATGTGCAGATGGCACTCTAGTTCTGCCCATGCCACTAATGAATGTTTGGCCTTCAAGGGGTTTCTGAACAAGAAGATCAGAACAAATGCAGTAAGGATTTCAAAACAGGAATATCAGGTGATGAACCTTGCTGAGTATAATCCCAAAGGAAAGAAGGATAAAGAAAAACCATTAGACACTGACCAGAAGGTTCAAAAGTCACTTGATAAGGTGAGCGACCAGAAACAACAAAAGGTATAGTCTTACAAAGAGGCAGTTCAAAAGTTTCCTTTGCAAGCCAAAGATGTTGAAGGACTTAAGAATCTACGACACAATCTTTGTCATTCATGTGCACTCTTGTTGCATTTTGAATCACTACTAGAAAACAGGTGATTTTCGACGGAATTTTTTCGTCAGAAACACCTCGTTTTCCGTCGGAAAACCCGTTTCCGACGGAAATTCCATTGAAAGCGGTTTTCAGAAGAGGTTTTGTAGGAAAAAGGACCTTTTCCGATGAAAATCCGTCAAAACCTGTTTTTCGACGGAATTTTTCTGTCGGAAGACATTTTCCGGCCTAGAAAAGTCCGTCAGAAATTTCCGACGAATATTTTTCCGCCGGGAAATTCCGACGGAAATTCCATCGAAAAATCCTATTAAAAAATAATAAAAAAAGACTACACCACCATCGCCCACACCACTAGCCCCCACCCCAGAACCACCAGCCCACCCAACCAGACCCCACTGCACACCGACCCCAACCACACCACCAACGACACCAACGACACCAGCCCCTATCTTACCTTCACACACCACCAAAAATTAACCCCACCTTCACACACCACCACTGACACCACCAAAAGATAACCCCAACTTCACACACCACCACCAAAAATTAACCCCACCTTCACACACCACCACTGACACCACCAAAAGATAACCCCAACTTCACACACCACCACCGACACCAACCACACCAGCCCTTATCCCACCTTCACACACCACCACCGACACCACCACACCAAAAATTAACCCCAAAAAAAACGAAACTTAGCAAAAAAAACACACAAATAACCGAATACCCCAAAAAATCGAAAATTAGCCCAACAATATGAAAATTAACACAACAAAATACCACAAAAAAAAATCAAAACCAGTAGATCAACATATTTAATCAGAATTTCATAAAAAAAATTAAAAAAAACGATAATTAAACAATAAAAATTAAAGGAAATATATAAATATACAATCATCTAATAAAATTTATAAATTAACATTACAATTACATAAAAAATTAACTAGATCTACAATCTAACCTAAATTAAAACTAGATCTACAAAACAAAAACCTTGAGAGTGGGTGGCTCGCAACGGTGGTTGTCAGCGCGCCGTTGTTGTTGTGGTTGATGTTGGTGGTGGACGGAGAGAGAATAGGAGGACGTTGTAGCGTTGTTGTTGTTGACGGTGCTTGATGTTGGTGGTGGACAAAGAGAGAAGAGGAGGACGCAGAGAAGAGGAGAGAAAGAAGACAAGAGAAAGAGGAGGGAGAAGGAGAAGAAGACCGAGAGAGAGGAGGAGGAGGAGTGAAGGATAGATCGAAAAGAAGAGGAAAGAGAAGAGAAGAGGAGAGGAGAGGAGAGGAGAGAGAAAGAGAAGGAGAAAGGGGAAAGAAGAGGCGGAAATGAAGGGGGGGGGGGGAGTTGGCTGTTTTGGGTTTGTTTTTTTTTTTTTTTTTTTTTTTTTTTAAATTAGACTCCGATGGAAATTCTGTCAGAAAATTCTGACGGATATTAATTCCGTCGGAACACTAAATTTCCGACGGAAAAATCCGTTGGAAAGTACATATTTTCCAACGGATTTTCGACGGAATTTTTGAGTTCGTCAGAAATATCCGACGAAAAATAAATCCGTCAGAAATTCCGATTTTTCCAGCGGAATTACGATTTCGTCGAAACCTGTCTGTCGGAATTCAACATGATTCTTGTAGTGAATTGGTCAAGACTAAAACCATTCCAAATGACCCAAATTGGATACCTAGACATTAGAGGTTCCACCAAAGGGGAAGACGAGACAGAGATTTCGTGAATCACCTCGTAACATTTGTTCTAAACAGACTTGGGAAATACAAGGTGAATGAAGGGAAAGAAAATCCCAGTAAAGCATTGGCTAAGGTCAAACAAGAAGAACAGGTGAGAATGAAAAGGACAGAAGGAGTGCTGAAAGAAAGGGTGACTACGAGTGATAATGTGAAGCTTAAGGAGAAAAGGAAATCCATGAAAAAGGCGAAATCAGTCAGATGAAGTTTGAGCAGCCAAATTCAAGCGATGGCGGTTCAGTTAGATGATGATGCCTTTGCAAAGGGAATCTTAAAAACCATTCATTCACAAGTTGTTCAAATAGGAGTTGGCACTGTAACTGAACAATTGGTGGGTGGTGAAAAGTTTACTGAAATGCCTAGCGATGATATCCAGAATTGATGGAAGGCATTCCAGAAAAGGACCAGGGACCAGAATTTCATAAGGAAAGAAGCTTGGGCGATGATCTGATGGCCACGGATCAACATGTACTTGAGTTAGTAGACTTTGATATTGAGGGTTTTGATTTGGAAGTCTCAAAGTCAGATTTGGAGTTTCTGGCAAAGTATTCAGAGGAGGATTGCAAGGCAGATTGCAATACCGTGAATTTACCATAGGTTTAGAGCTCAAGTGGTGAAGTCTGACATCAGTTTATGGGCAAATGGAGTGGATCAGGCACAAGCAAGATGTAATTAACCATAGGTTTAAAGCTCAAGTGGTGAAGTCTGGCACCAGTTTACGGGCAAATGGAGTGGATCAGGCACAAGCAAGATGTAAATATAAATTCTCTAGTCTTTACTATGTGACTCCGTGTAAATTCAATAAACCCCTCTTACGTCTAATTTTCCCCCCTTCGAAACTTTTTCACCAGTAAGTTGCGTCGCTGCACGCCTGCACCCCTCTCCCTCTCTCTCACCTCCATTGAAACGTACTCTGAATCCTCCGTTGAAGCGGCTTGAGAGCTCTCTTCTCCATTGAGGCAGCTTCTGAGGTAATAGGTTTTATTAACCATCGAATTGTTCGAATATCAATTCCTAAATCTAAGGGTTTAGTTCCACACTTTTGTTAATTTAATTGTCAGTTTACTCAATTTAGGGTTCTTTAAAGTGGATTATTGGACTATTGGTTATAATTTATTTACTGAAAGATCGTTTGTTGTTCGAATTTTGCTAATCACATTCTTAGGCTACAAGAATTGAAGGTGATTTTTCGAGCCTAGAGTGACTCGCTCGCTCTAGAATCACTGGTTCCCTCAATTGCTTTCATTGCTAACTCTATCGAATTCAAAATTTTCTATAGGGTTTTTGCCAACAATTGGACTCCCTTGAGCAGAAGCTGGTGGTATAAATTCAATAAAACAACATAACTCAACCCAATGCCTAGGTAGTGTATATGTTGTTCTTCAAAATATGGATTGAATTTTTTTTCGAAAAGTTATTATTTAGGTTTTTTTACTTTTAACCTAAATGTGTTGTTGAACTTTTGACAGGTATTATTGTGATTACTGCGACACTTACTTGACACATGATTCTGTAAGTATTTGTTTTACTCCGTATCAAATTTATTGCGCTTCAAAGTTTAATTATGTGTTTATTTTTTTGTTGCTTTGATATATGTAATTAACATCTATAATCCTAGTTTTTTTTTTTTTTTTTTTTTTTTTTTTTTTTTTTTTTTTTGTCTTGCTTTTCTCGAATATTGATTTATGCTGATTGTTTGTATTTATAATTCTGATAATGAATTCCAATGTAAGCGTGGTAAAAAAAACATATAGGAGTTGGCTAGAATATTTACTTGGCATTTCACTTGTATAATTTGATTCCTTTGTTTGTTCCACGTGAAAGATTAGAGTGATGATTTTATTTCAGTTTTTGGGAGAAGAAATGTGAGAGACATATTCATTTGTTGGCGTAGAATATGAGAAAATATATGTATCAACCTTATGTTTGTAGCTGATTCATTTGCCCATACAAGACTTTATTAATTATTTTGGATTTCATTTGCCTTGTTTGTTTGACTGACATACTGTGTTTGCTCTCAGCCATCTGTCAGGAAGCAACATAATGCAGGTTATAAGCATAAGGTAAGCGGTAAGCTAGCTTTGCCTCAGTAGGCATTGGAAATAATTTATTTCAAAATTTGATTCAGTGTGTACGAAATTCTTAAATGACTAACCTATGTTTTGATCATTTTCGGCAAATTATTTGTGATGGTTATTTGTATTCGATTTCAGGCAAATGTACGGATATACTGTCAACAATTTGAGGAGCAACAAACGCAAAGTTTGATCGATCAGAGAATCAAGGAGCATCTTAGTGGCCAAGGTGCTTTTCAAATTGGTGCTGCCTATGCAGCATGGAGACCTGGTGTTAGACCACCTATTCTTCCTGCACCATTGCCGATTCCAGGTTCCCTTCCCCCTAATGCTCAAATGGCTCCAGGGATCAGGCTACCTGTTTTTCCTAGACCTCCTGGTTTTCCGGGTAAGTTGATGCTTTCAATCTTTATTGTTTTCTTATGTGATCAATTATTTTATCTTATGGAAAATTACAGAATATTCAGTTGAATTGCATGTTTCCTAATAAATTCTGACTGTAAGATAATCACAGGAGCTTAGTGAAAACATAACTAAATAACCAATTAACTAATTACCATATGATGCTTAAGGATTCAAATGGAATCATACCACTGATGAGATGTCAGGGTATGTAGGTCAGTAGCTGGGCAATCAAACAATGAAAACAAAACGACATGAAAGTTGCACCTGTTTAGTAAGCAAGGATCCGATTAAGTAAAGAACTATATATACACATGAAAATAGGGAAAGGATCCTGTGTGCTTTCCTAGATTAGGAATAGGCTTTCTTTCCTCTTGATTATTGTCCCTATGAGAGGCATATTTTTACCAGAAAATGTTCCGTTTATTTATAGGCTTTACAACATACTATTTCCTTCAGCTAGGGCTCTACGGTAATTAGAATATTTTTTTGAAGGTTATCTTATTGCTATCTTGTGGTCAATATGACCTTTTTTTGATTGATTAGACTAGAGAATAATTTGACCATGGATCTCAGATTGGTTTCAGCTTTCAAGTTGAATGCTAAATGTTGTAGCACTTCTAGTTAACTAGATTGTGTCGAAATTTAGTAAGTACATTTAACATATGTGCATGGATTCATTGGTAGTGACTCACTAAGTCCCTTATTGTAGGTCAGTTTTACACAAACATAAACTTAATAATGCACTGACCTTGGTCTTTAAGAAAGAAACAATCCGAAGTGATTGGGAGAGGAAAGGTTTCTTTTCTTTGAGGACATTTGTTGGAACCAATTTTATCTCGGTGTGGCTTAGGACTCAGTGGATTAGTGGTGGCTTCAAATCGCAGTGTTAGGGTTTGAATCCCTTCTCAATAGCAACCTATGGCATGAGTTTATATGCAACTCAAGATATGTGTATCAAATGATCTAGTTTGAGTGTGTCATGATTCATAAACTGTACAATGTTTAAACCCTAGAAACTTAGATTGAATAGGGTATCGTTAAAGGAGGTGATAAAGAGAGGAAGAGGGGGGGTGTCTGTGTTGCTTTTTCACAGAGATGGAAGGTTTTTTTTTTCTCCTTTTGTGTTCTTCAAGTGCATGGAAAATAATTCAGTAATTTTATCCAACAAAATGCTTCCTTTAAGTTGGATAGAGGGAATGCTATGAGGAGATAGATTGAGAGAACTGGATAGAGGGACCGATGTGATGAGGTGATTGATAGAGTGAGATACATAGAGGGACCCATGTGATGAGTGGATTGATAGAGTGAAATACATAGAGGGACCCATGTGATGAGGAGAGAGAAAGGGAAACCCATTATCAATAGAGGGTAATGTTGGCATTTTTTTTGCCACCTCCTAAAAACTGAAGTGTTGCAATAATTTAAGAAAAAAGGAAATAATTGTGAACATTCAATGTACAATGGCACTTCTGACTCAAGTGTTGTTAAATAGACGTCAATGGACTTTTAAATCAATGGTATTGTTTTGAGCCTTTGCTAATCAGGGTTTGGAAGGATAACTTTATGCCGATAGTCAATCCCTGTGTTACCTAATTATCTTTCTCCCCCCATAAAGTACATTTTAAGTTGTTTGTTCCAAATCGCAGTTTGTAGGTGCCAATTTAGTCAGGTGCATGAGCTAGTTTGTCCAAATTGACAGTACTAAACATGTAGTCGTTACCTTCTGTTTGTAGACGGTAGATTAAATGCAATGAAGGGAACACAAATCAAGGGAAATTTGAGATCTAGAGTTTGAGAAATGAGCCCTACTTATGTTTATTGAAAGTGAAATATGTCAAATATATTGTTCAAAAATGTCGGGTCTTTTTTAAAGATGTTCATTTGAATAGAATATCTGGGTTTTTTTGTCATTAGTGTGGTCGGTCATGAGTGATAAGTTGTCTGCTTTGGTGATGGTGGAGTGGCTTTGATTTATCATTGGGGAAAATTATAAATGTGCCTGTTTATGTATTACTGTATCATTAGAATTATTAATTTTGTGAAATGAGTGCATACCTATGACCAATAATGATCCAAAAAAGGATACCCAATAGATCACCCACAAATTATAAAATCACCCACCTGAAATTGCAATCCTGTTCCTGACTTCCTGTTCTAAGTGCTGAAGCGATCTGCAAATGAGGTAACACTGGTCAATTCTTGTCATTTTGAACAAATGATCATTTACGATGGTTTGTGTAAATTGTATTGGGATTAGAGGACAAAGAGACCTTGTGCCAGTTCAGACTGAAACTATACAAGATTAGCACAGATGTTGTAACTTTTTGGTGATATACTGATATGCTTTACTTGTTGACTAATACTATAGAATTGGCTTTGTGTTCTCAAGTATGTTGTTTCTGCAGCCAGGGGTGGAATCAAGGGGGAGCTGGGGTAGGCCATGGCCACCCCCTTGATTCAGTATAAGAACTTATTTTTCATATGTTAAGTGTCTTTGCTTCACAGCTTAATTGGTTTAGTAAATGAGTTACGAAATCCGCGCGTCTAGAGTTCGATTCTTGGTGCTGCATTGCTTTTTATTTTTATCCCTCTATTCTTTTGACACGAGCACACACCATCTAATACCTATGCTCACATTATTTTCTAGTGGGGCTTGCTCTATTTTGGGAATCTAATTATTACATACAGTACATACAATATAGAAGTAAAATTCAACACAATTACTAGTTTTTTTTTTCTTTTTTTTTTTTTTCATTTTTTTTAATTTTTTTTTTCCATATCATTATATATATTTTAATTCTTAAGCTATATGACTACACGGTAGAATTGTAGTATGAAGAAGTTATACATATATATTATATTTAGAATAATTTTTATTCCATAAAGTCTTAGCTCTAATTCTCAAAAAGGGTTGTATATGATCCAACAAGAAATGGAAAATTATATTGTGGAATAAAAAAAATATATATCATATTTGATCTTGGCCACCCTAATATAAGAATTCTGGTTCCGCCAATGTCTGCAACAAATCTTACATGCTTACTTGAAGTATTTTTTATTTTTTTAGAAAAACCGAACGGTGTATTAATTAAGGGACAAAGTGTCCGAGAGTACGTAAGGTGAAATTTTCGCAAGACAATGATTCACCCAAATTTGTTCTACACCGAAAGGTAAGAGCTTAGCTAGATGATGAGCAACTATATTGCCATCCCTTTTTACATGAGCCCTAAAACAAGAATTAAAAAAGGAACTTAAAAACAAGATATCCTCTAGCACACCATCAAGGTTAGAGAAGAACACCATAGCTTTCAACAGACGATCAATAAGCACTTGTCAATCGAACTTAATGATCACATCTTTAAGCCCAAATTTCTTGGCCAAGACAAACTGCCATGCAAATAGCTTTGCCTTCTGCTATCTTAGGAGGCCACCAAGCCTTTGTTCGACGTGTTGCAGCAAAAATAACCCCTCCCACACAGTCACGAGCCATAACTCCTTACCCAACCCACCCCGCGAGAGAAGTGTCAACATTGATCTTGATAGGGGAGCTTTCGGCGAGGCCGCTTCTCTCCAAAGCTCATATGCACCTTCTTGCTATACAAACCGTACTCCTCACTTAATCTATTAGCTCGTGCCAAAAGAATAGGATTTGGGGTAGTTTTATCATTGAAAACCTTTTGATTTCTCTCCCCCCAAATACACCAAGCAAGGAAGGCCGCACGTTGCTGCAACTTCGCATTCCCTTTCTTCCAACTAGCCAGGAAATCACAAGGATCATTCATCAAATTCACATCAATCACAGGCACCCACTCGAACACAAGTAAACAAGGCATGGAAGCTTGATTCCTCTTCTACACCACACCAAGGACAAACATCATTATCAATAAGATGGTGGTGAAGGAGGAGGGCTTTAGTAGGCAGCGAACTCGTACGAGAAAGTGCCTGACCTTAGGTGAAACCTTCAAGCGCCAAATATATATCCACACTTGATGAAAATCATCAAAATTCCACCCCTTCCCAAGCATGTAAGTTGTCTTAGTATAATACAATCCATCTTTTGAAAAAGCCCAAGTGAGAGTATCCGTGGGTTCCTTCAAACTTAAGGGAATCGATAGAATACATTTTTTATCTCTCTCATTGAAGTGTCTAGAGATCAAATCAGTATTCCATTCCATACAATCAAAATTAACTCAGACCTGTCATGTTCATCCGCTGGCCAAGCATCCTTCCATATATTAACATTGGAACCCGTCCCAATCCTCCAAATCACCCCTTCTTTCACCAAAGCTTTTGCCTCCATACACTTTGCCAAGAATAGCTGCCCCCATACCCAAGAGCCGCATCAAGAAAAGAACAATTTGGGTAGTAATTTGCCTTCATAACCTTACTAAGCAGGGACTCCTCTTTGTGCACAAGCAGCCAAGCCTGCCTTCCAAGAAGCGCATCATTAAAGACACTGTGATCTTTAAATCCCATCCCCCCCAAACACTTAGGCGTGTAAAGAGAAGACCACCTCTTCCAACAAACCTTGCGTTTGAGTACCTTGCTGACCCAAAAGAATCTTGCCATAGCACTCGCAATCTTATCAATAACCGGACATGGAAATTTATAAACCCCCATGAAGGGCATATTTTAGGAGTATTTCTTTCCCAGCCCGAGAAAGAAGCTTCTCCTTCCAACCTTGCAATTTCTTCCAAATCCTATACAACTGAGCCCCAAAAATTGCCTTCTTTGATTGTCCTACAACAGTATTTGCTGTGTCTGGGCTAAAAGAGACCTCCGATTTTTCATAATTAATTTTCTGTCCGGATGCTACTTTGTATTGGTTAAGAATATCAACGATGACTTCGCATTCCTGTCGGTTGGCTCTAGCAAAAAGAAGACTATCATCTGCAAAAAGAAGATGAGAAATGTAGGACCTCTGCGACTACCTCTGGCACCATGAAGATCTCCACTCTAAACCTTACTCTGTAACATAAAGGAGAGAGCATCTGCTACTAGAATAAAAAGATAAGGGGAGTGAGGGTCCCCCCGACGAAGTCCCCAAGAAAGAACCGCGTAGGAGAGAGCATCTGCTACTAGAATAAAAAGATGAGGGGAGTGAGGGTCCCCCCACGAAGTCCCCAAGAAAGAACCGCGTCCCCGCACACCCTTCCATTAATAATGAAAGTACTTCACCTTAGACACACACTGCATAATTAAGTTCACCCATCGACCATCAAATCCCGTAGTAACCAGCAACCCCTATCGTACGCCTACTCATATCTAAGTTTAAGAGCAATCGTACCCCTCTTATCCTTACTCTTCTTCATCGTGTGAAATAGTTCCAAGGCTATAAGGGCATTATCAGTAATAAGGCGGGCGCCACTGAACAAATGCACTTTGGTTCTCCGAAACCACACCATGCAAAATCAACTTAAGTCTCATAGCAAGCACTTTTGAGATAAGTTTATAAAGCACATTACAGATGCTAATAGGTCTAAATTCAGAAGTCACGAAGAATTAACTTTCGGAATTAAAGCAATGTTAGTGATTAACATGTTCTAAAGAGGCAGAACCATGAAGAACAACACTAACAAAATTAGTAACATCATCTCTAACAATATGCCAAAATTTTTGATAAAAAATAGCATGCGTACCATCAGGGGCTCGGGGCCTTATAAGGATGCATTTGTTAAAGAGCAGTGAAGATTTCATCCTTAGTATAAGGCTTCATCAAGTTCGAATTTTTGCTCCGGCGAAATAGAACTTCACTCAACTCTTCATCGTAAGGCATACTAGACGCAAAGATCTTTGTAAAATAGTCAGAAACAATGCCTTCAACTCGATGCTCATCTTCCTGCCATACCCCATTAGAATTGTAGAGCCCTTTAATTCGATTTTTCTTATTTCGTTGTGAAGCTTTGTGGTAGAAATAACTGGTATTTCTATCTCCATCACGCATTTCAGCGATTCTTGACCTCATATACTAGTGAGCTTCATGCTTGTCATGTAAATCATCCAATTCTTTTTCTAGCCTCGAACATTCATCGGAAGGCATACTAGACGCAAAGATCTTTGTAAAATAGTCATAAACAATGCCTTCAACTCGATGCTCATCACAGCTTGCGGGGGTCACGATTTTTTGCTGCGCACATTTAAGTCTACTTACTCCAATCTAAGAGCTTACCAAGATAATCAAATTTCTCCTTACTCCAATCTAAGAGCTTACGGCGCACAACCATAAGTTTAATCACGACATTCTCTTCATCAGCCGCACTCCAAGCATTGCTTACAGTAGCTTCGCAAGCCTCGTCCAACAGCACGCAATTTCAAATTTAAATCTCTTGCTCTTTTTCTTCTTTTTATTTTGCTCAAAACGGGTGAGAATAGGGGTATGATCAGAGCACCTCTTCAAAAATCCCAGGATACAAGCAAAACCAAGAGGGAGAGGCAACGAACCTATCCAACCTTTCGTGAACTTTGGTAGCTTCGGATACCCCCCTTTCCCAGGTCCACCATTGACCTCTAAACCCAAGATTTCCGAGTTCACAATTACAATTATTCAAGGCTTGTCTAAAGTTTGGCATTTCTCTACGGTCACGATCCGAGCCACCGTCCTTCTCACTAAGCGAGAGAATTTCGTTTAAATCGCCGCCGAAATAACAGGCATATTAATCTCTTCACACAAAGTTTGAATGAGTCTCCAAGTGCAATGTTTATGTGAAGAATCCGGCCAGCCTTAAATTCCAACGAATCTCCATTTTACCCCTTCTCGCACAACATCACCGCAAATATGATTTTGAGAAAAAGAAACAAGAGAGAAATCCACCTTGTTATCATTCCAAAACAGGCACAACCCTCCAGACGTACCACGGCTTGACATACCAAAAGAATTCGAAAAACCAATTCTATCTTTTATACCTTCCACCTCCACTTTACTGATCATGGTCTCAGAAATAAAAACCAGATCAGGGGTATAAAGAGAGCTCCACTTACGGAGTCTAAGAACTGTTGGCAGCCAGCAAAGTAGATTCATTGGACTTGGCGGGGTTGGTTCAAGCCAACCTCCGCCATTTCTTCATCAACATAATCAAGAGCATTCATTCTTGGTTTCTTTCCCTCACCTTCAGCACCTTTCTCAACCAACGCCTCCACTAGAGAGCTAGCATCCCTCTTACGAAGCAAAGGAGCAGAATCCCCAATCTCCTTACCTCCCTTCTTCTCAAGCCTCTACCAAGTTTTTACACCTTGGGGTTTACTAGGAGAATTTTTAGCAGCAGCAAAAGTAAAAATAGCAGTCTTATTAACTTCAGTACTTCCAAGCAAAGCATTCTCTCCATCAACATCTGCCACCACACCACCCACCCCTGCTATCTGTAAAATGTCAGTGCTCAAAATCGGCTCTGAATCGCCGCAAGTAATCCGCCCCTGCTGTGCTGCAATCTCTTCAACCTGTTGCTTCTCCCCTTCTTTAGTCACGAACAACTGGCGTTTCCCTTTAGAGATCTGGGCAAACTCCTCCACCTCCTTAGCATGGCCCTTCCTAGGTGAGGCTTGAAGGAATAAGCCTTTTCTCCTTCTCTTCCTGTCACCGCAAGGCAGTCTTTCTCTGAGTGCCTGATCGCTCCACAAGCAAAACAAAAATAGGGCAGCCTCTCATATTTAAATTCCACCTTGAATTCGTTCCCTCCCCTGGCTTTAATGCGTTGAAAGCGTGGCAAGGGTTTGGTAACATCAATCAAAATTCGCACCTTCCTATAATGGTTCAAGCCAAGGGCATCCTCCTCTATCTCAATCACCTCCCCTAGCCCCACAACAAGGGCTTCAACATACTCATTCGATCTACAGTTAAAAGGCAATTTGCAAATTCTAACCCAAAAAGGCGAATGATTAAGGATCACCTGGTCAGGCTGCTCATCTCCTTGCACTTCGTTCAATATCAGAAGATGGTTGTCCCAACACCAAGGTCTTCCCTTCATAATTTTCTCCTTATCTCGCCAATGAAAAAACTGAAAGGCATACAAGTTAGGGCTTAAAACCCTAATAATCATCCCTTCCGATGGCACCCAAACCTTCATCATCGTGCCCTTAAAGGCTTCCACATTATAAGGCCTAGAAGTGCACAATCGTCCAACCAAAAGCAATGCTGGATTTTCATCCGATTTTGTGCTTTCTATGCTACCTAGATCAATCACGCTTCCTTCATCCTCCTCTATTTTCAAAGAGGAGTACTTATCCACCAAATCGTCCGCCATTACACCGGAGATCAGTCGTTCAAAACGGAGGCACAATCCTTGTTCGCAAGGGAGCAAAACCCTATCTTTCGAGGGAGATCATTAGTAAATTGATGCTCTTATGTCGCTTACCTGAAGTATTGTATATTCTTGGTTTTGCATCTTCTTTGTTGCATCAGTTATTGAAGATGAGCATAAGTTTGATTGCATTACAGGAGGGTAATTATTTTTTGTTTTGCTATTTTCTCTCTCATCACACTGTACTTTTTTTTTTTTTTTTTTTTTTGGGGTTAAATTCTTTTAGTTAATTAACAGCTCCAAATGTGTTTACAGTTTATGGGGCACCTCCAGGACAAGTTGCGGGACAACCAGGTGCTCCTGGTGCACCAGTGCAAGCAAATGGTCCACCTGGGCCACCTCCTTTGAATACCTCAACATCAGTACCAGGAGCAACGCCTCCTGTTACTAATGGTGGTGCTCCAACTGCATCACAGGCTTCACAGCCTGGGTTCCAGGGTGCTCCTGCTGGCGGGAGCTTTGGAGGGACAAATATGCCTGCTGTCTCTAGCTTTCCTTCTGCTGGTGGAAATGTTTCTTATCCGGCAACTTCAGGTGCTGACGGATTTACTTATGGTCAAGCCCCGAACAACAGTCTTCAATCTAACTGAAATGGTATGTCTGGAACATATTGCTAACTTGCATAATATACTTTGTATTGGTTAGTTGTTTTTTTTTTTTTTTTTTCACATGAAGCTTGCTATTTTCTTATATTGTCTCATTGAATAATAGAGTATTCTGTATTAAACAAGTGACAAAGCTCTGATAGTTGATTTCAAATCCTGTACAAACTGCTTGGAGGCCACACTCTAGTCCAAAGTGTGATGATTTGAGAAAACATTTTTGTTTATGCGTAGTTTTATTTCATTTCAGTCTCTATATTTGAATAAGTACATCTCAAAGACATTTCAGAACCATTACAATTTTAAATGCCTTGGTGATGCAGGACATTGGATTCAGCATGAGATGCATTTATACCTCAAGGTTGTAGATGCCGGGCTCCTGTGTGTTTTTTGTTTTGAACTCTTTTAACAATATGGAGATTAGGGAGCATCGATATATTACTCGTACTTGTTAACATGAGGAGGTGTGGAGGAATTGGCTGGATATTGTAGTATAGCTTTGCGCCCTTGTCTTCTAATCAATTTGCTGTGACATTAAAACATATGGAGTAGCTAGAGCAATTAATATGTTTTGGTCCTTTCTACCATATTGATGTGCTAGTGTGCTTTGAAATATGCGAATTGTCTAGGCGTGATCAGCTGAATTTTACCAGTTTCACCTTTGTAGCTTGTGGCATCACAATTAATGAAAGTATTAGATGATTATATTTTACATCTATTGCCTTTAAATTTCATCAATTAACTGTTTTTTGCTACAAAACAATAAAAAAGACTACTTTTCTTGTTATAGTAAATTTAACTAGGTTAGAACTTGTGCGACGCATGGTTTGTATAAAATATATTTTTATTTGTACATTTAAAAAAATGGATTATGCACCTTATACAAAAATATTTGTAATTTTATAGTTTTAGATTTTCATCAAAATTATGATATAACACATGTTCAACATCGTCTAATACATATTTCAATGTAGGAGTCCATTTATTATTGTGTTATTTACAATTGTTTCATTTTTAAAGATAAATTGATAGGTTGTAGTTGTAATGTAGAAACTTCTAATATTCAAATTTCAAAATTGTTAAATATGGTAGCTTTACATCAACAAATAAAAAAAAAAATGTAAATGACATCATCTCTGTATTTAGGCGGGAAAAAATTTATTATGTGAATGACATGTAGACAATGATAACGCCAACAACGTTTTGTTTTAGTAATATTAATAGATTCTTTAATAAAAAGCCATATGAAATCTATACCTGCAAGAGACGGCCTAACAATATATATATTATAACCGTGAGGACGAGTTTCATCTTATTTATGTATTTCATTGAAAATTTGATAATTATTGCAATCCTACATAACTCTTTTACCAACAAATTAAACTCACAATACTCCACATACACTAAAATTAAAACCAAATACTCAACTAATCCCAATATCCCATCACAATGGAAGTCACTACACTAAAATGATGTCAGTTAGTTTATTGAGATTTTAAAAGACAACTTCGAAAAAATATAACAAAAGGGTAGAAAATAGCCATATTTTTTTTGAAGAACTTTGATTAATTTTTGCCTAGTAGATAGAAATGTTTCTTTCTTGCCTACTATCTTCATCATGATTGGCGTAATTTGTGTGCATAAATCATGATATGAACCTAGCCTTCTACAAATGAACAAAAACAACTTATTTAAAATGAACATACAGAGTGTTGATATGAACATCAAATTGATAATAAGTTATCTCTATTCAAATTTAAATAATCTACATAATGTAAATATATAAACCGGACACAACACATTCTTGATAAGAACATTGAATTTTAAAATTTTGTTTTATATAAACTAATTCGGAAATTTTCTTTGGTAACACTGTACTTTTTAGTTTTCTCAGTGATAAATTGTAAAAATTCTTATTATTCATGGTAAACTTTAATTAACTATAATTATCCAATGATATAAAGAATTTATAACGTTTTTTTAATCAATTAATTTAATTTTTTGTAATTGAAATGACATATTTTATTAATAAAAACGGATTTGAAATTGATTGCTATTGTTAGAGGACATACTACACATACTCTTTTCAAAAGAGTATTTTTTGATCTAAAGAAGGAAGGTTAAAAATGTAGTGATTGTGATGAGTATGAACATTCGTCTTCTTAAGAAATAGTAGTAGTAGCAATAGTTGTAGTAGCAGTAATTAATATTAATAATGATAACTAATATTAATTAATAACATATATAATAAAAATAAAAATAATTAATGATGATAACAATAATTAATATAACAATATTTATTAATATAATAAAACTAATATTTCATTTCTACTTTTTGCTTAAGTTTTACTCACTTTTCATTTTCATCCGTTTTTTTAATTATATTTTACTCAATTTTACTTTGTTTCGTTTATGAAAAAATTTGTGTAGAACGGACTCACCGTGAGTCCGCCTACACAAATACACACCTCTTCCGCTACCTTCTTCCACCACCCACTTCCGCTTTCTCAGCCACTGCTCCATCGCCATAGCCACCCACCTTGCTGCCATTATTTCCCGAACACACTTCCCTTAATTTTGCACAGGAGCAGCAAGCTGAAATCAGCCCACAAACGACCCCAATTCAACCACAATATTTGAAGATTCAAGATGAGTTGTTGATGGAGTTCTGGTTTTTCGTTATCGTTGATTGATAAAGTGTCTAGAATGTCGTCGGAGAAAATAGGTTGCGGCGGCGGAGGGGAGGGAGAAGAGGGTTTGGGTTTTTTTGGAGGGGGGGGGGTTGAGAAAGAGAGAGGCGTTTATTGGAGGAAGAGAGGAGGAGGTGGTGGTGGTCAGACATGGTTGGTTGAGGAGAGAGAAAATGAGAGGAGAGTGTGGGAAAGTGGAGAGTATTGGATTATAAATGAATAAGCCCCTACAAATATTAATGTGAGATATTAGATTACTAATGTCAGATATTGTAATATTATTGTCATTTATTAGAATATTAGATTATTAATGTCAGATATTAGATTATTAATGTCATAATTAGAATATTATTGCCAGACATTAGAATATTAATGTCATATATTAGAATATTATTGTCAAACATATTGGACTCATGGTGAATCCAGTCTCACGTAAAACCTTCTCATTCTTTTATAGCAATATTTTATTCATTATTTATTTATCAAAAACAACCCAAATGTGAGGAGCCCAATTACATTAAATAAATCTCTTAAATTACTCTCCCTTTTAAAGCAAAAAATACTCACATATTTGACCTCAAATCAGACCTTTTGAACAAAAATAACCCCAAAATAGCATATTTTTGGCATGAAGATCAAAGAAATTTTTAAAAACGTTAAATTTAACTATTATGGTGGCGAAATCTAACTTTTTTTTTTCTTTTCTAGATGGTATTTTAAAATAAAATCTTTTATGGTTGGTAATTTCAAAAAGTAGGTTATTTGTCCCTCCATCTTATATTACAAAGCCTATTTTGGTTTTTTTTTCATAAGAATTCAGGAGGTTGTAGATGCCTTAAAACTAATGATTGAAATTACAAATGTGCATATGGTATAAGAGAGAGATAGAGAGAAACAAAAAATATTTAGGAATTATTAAAGAGAGGGAGAGAAAAAGTGTTGGGAATTGATGTCAAAAGACATCATTAGTACAAAAATGAAAAAGATGACAACTCATCAAAAAAGAGGGTAATATTGTCAAAAAATACAACCTTTAAATCGAAATAGGTTTTTAATTTTGGTTTACCTAAAAAGGAACATTGGCTTTGTAATATGAGAGTATGAGACGAATGGAGTACTATATCTAAGGTCAAAAAATTGCATTGACATGTATGCTAAGTTGATTGTACAATTATTCTGACAAACTATGTCATTAAAATTAAATCAAAAATTAAATACGTTTATCATCCTCCCCTTTTGCAATTGTTTCCCGTGTATAAGTTGCGCCCAAACAGTGGCGTAAGAAGTGTGGGTTCGAAGTTTAAAAATGGAGTAAGATATAGGTCTTTTGTTTTTTCTAATTGCAACGTTGGTGATTTCACACTTGCTAATGCACATTCTTTAACTAAAATATCTTAAATTATTTTCTTACAAAAATTAGAAATAGTTGATATCATATAAAAATATTTCGAGCCGAATCTAACAATATCCCATTTGACTATAGGCTTAAAACTGATGCACTTGGAATCGAACTCTTAAGTCGGTAGCCTAATTGCCTAAGGCGCACAAACGTGCGGGGTTCCCAGGCTCTAGCTAATCGAGGCCACAAAAACTCTAGTAGGGGCACAATGGGAATTTTGCGTGTATAATTTTTTAAAAAAGGGAAAATATGGAAAAGAAAAGGGGTCACATGCTGAAAAAATAATAAGGAAAAAGAATAACGGAAAACGGGATTGTCCTCATTGATGTTGTTGAGTTTTAGCGCCAAGAAAAGGAGTGAGAAAGTAGCTGAAAAGAGCTTGCACAATGCAGAATTCCGGCGAGAAAGTTCTCAAAAGGGCTTGCAGTACTCCGGCTGGTGGAGAATAGCTGACAATATAGTAGGGTGATGTTCAAGATGTCAAGCGTCCACTTGATCTTGTAAGTCGTTGTGTTTAAAAGAATTATAGTTCAGGATTTATTTTATGGAATTTGTAGTTGCTTTAGATCTGCAAAAATGTGAGTGAATGTGCTGTAATTGTGAGTGAATGTGCTGTAATTTGTAAATGCTATTTGTGTGAGTGAATGTGCTGTAATTTGTAAATGCTATTTGTGTGAGTGAATTTGTTTTGCAGTGTTTGTTGTTGGTAAATGTTAATTGTTAAGAATGATTGAAGAATTTTTAAGGTCTATGTAATTGCGTTACTTAAAGATGTGTGGATAACTCCATTGGAGATGTGACTGGAAACCCGATTGACATTGCTCAGTATGTATTTGTTATTGGCTAAATTTTGCAATTTGTTGTTATTTTGTTTTTTGGTACAAATTATATGGTATATTATTAAGGTCTGTTGTTATAATTTATTTGTTATATGAGAAGAGAAGAGGTGAATAAGTGAAATGTAATGTCTACAGAACATTGATTTGGTAAAAAAAGTAAATTTGGATAATGATATGAGTTTAATAGAGGGTGATTGTTGTTTGGATGATGATGAGTTGGCTGATGATGATGTGGATTTTGAGGTGGATTTAGAGGATGAGAATGTTAACTGTGAGGTGTTAATTAGAGAAAATGATCAGCAATAAAGTGGTGAAGAGGATGACTGTATGGTTACTGGTTTTAATGAAGGTGGTGAAGAGGGTAACTGTATGATTACAGGTGTTACCTGCTTTAAATGATCAGCAACTAGGTGGTGAAGGGGAAAATGTTGTGGATGACGATGGTGGCTGCCATTCTCTTAAGTGGATGCACCTGCAGTTGGAATGGTGTTTTCCTCTTGGGAAGAAGTGTATATTTAATATAAGGAGTATGGGAAGCAGGAAGGTTTTGGTGTGGTGTTTGCTGGTGTCAGGAAGCCTAACAAGGATGGGTTGTCATAAAAAACTATCCGCAATTATGTGTGAAAATGTGAGACCTATGGCATAAGAAAGTATAGGAAGGTAGTAAATGGGAAGAAGGTGGTTGTCACGCACGACCCTTTGGTGAAAAGAAAGTCTAAGAAGCGTGAGTGTCCTGTTAGTTTGTATGCGTCAATGCATGAGCTTGGAGAATGGACGGCGATTAAT